TCATGGGATACCATTGTTCATTTTTTTCATACTATGAGTCCTTCTGTTGTATTCTGTTGTATTTTAATCAATTAAGTAAATTTGCTGTGAGATTTGGCTTAACTGGATTTGCCCCATTGAGAAATACTAGTTTATAACAAAACTTAATGACATTGTTATCTGGATTAGTGTCACACATTATATAACACAACACCTGGTCCCATCTGTTATTATCATAATGCCATGACAACCTGGATATACACTTTGTAATCTTTTCAGCATGGTTTCTGATTTATTCATGTAATATTGTATTATCATTCATGGAAGATATCATTGGGCTAAAAAAAAAAAGGTTTAGCTTCTTGTCATCTCGCAAGTCAGTTCGAAACCTGTGTATCGCACATTTGTTTTGTTGCAATTTTGGATACCAGTGAAGTGCAACCACGTATGGTAATATTGAAAACTGTTTTGTTTTCTCTTTGGAAGCTGTTTTGTTTTCTCTTTAGAAGCTGTTTTGTTAAAACTGAATCTTTTTTAGGATGAATAACATTGAATTATAATGGTGTCTTTGTAGCGGGTATTTGAAACAACATTGCAGTTATCATCCGATAATCTCTGACCATTCAATGATGATGCATAATTAATACTCATTACTTATTTAGAACTACCCAAGCATGATGAAAGAATGACGGTGGCTGACTCTGAAATTATTAGACAAGTACTTAGAGAAAGACTGGAACACCGACCTAAAGGTAGAGTACGGAAGACATAATAGTGTTTGGCAATGAATGACCTCTGACCAAGATTAGAGTCAAAGGTCATCATAAACTACTATATTTGTAACCTGTCTGATGTGTTTGTATTTTGCTGTGTGTGTTGATGTGGTTGAAGTCTGCATGAATGATTGGTTCTTTTATGTTGTTCATTATGTCCGTTTACCGTCAGCTATGTGTGTTTTTATTGTCCATGTCTGTGCACTCTACATGAATCATCCGTGTCTGTGTACTCTTCATGAATCGTCTGTGTCTGTGCACTCTTCATGAATCGTCTGTGTCGCACTCTTCATGAATCGTCCGTGTCTGTGCACTCTTCATGAATCGTTCGTGTCTGTGCACTCTTCATGAATTGTCTGTGTCTGTGCACTCTTCATGAATCGTCTGTGTCTGTGCACTCACTCTTCATGAATCGTTCGTGTCTGTGCACTCTTCATGAATCGTCCGTGTCTGTGCACTCTGCGAATCGTCCGTGTCTGTGCACTCTGTGAATTGTCTGTGTTGCACTCTTCATGAATCGTCTGTGTCTGTGCACTCTTCATGAATCGTCCGTGTCTGTGCACTCTTCGTGAATTGTCTGTGCACTCTGTGAATCGTCTGTGTCTGTGCACTCTTCATGAATCGTCTGTGTCTATGCACTCTTCATGAATCGTCTGTGTCTGTGCACTCTTCATGAATCGTCTGTGTCTGTGCACTCTGTGAATCGTCTGTGTCTGTGCACTCTGTGAATCGTCTGTGTCTGTGCACTCTGCGAATCGTCCGTGTCTGTGCAATCTTCATGAATCGTCCGTGTCTGTGCAATCTTCATGAATCGTCCGTGTCTGTGCACTCTTCATGAATTGTCTGTGCACTCTGTGAATTGTCTGTGTCTGTGCACTCTACATGTATCGTCCGTGTCTGTGCACTCTTCATGTATCGTCCGTGTCTGTGCACTCTTCATGAATCGTCTGTGTCTGTGCACTCTTCATGAATCTTCCGATTTATTTCATTTTTCATCCCATACTAATCATTATCCATGCAACATTTCAAAAGAAGAGTCAGTGATCCTTTAATTCATTCATATCCATGGTAACCTTTAATTTCATTTCATGAAAAATGTAATTAGCAGCTAGCATCCAGGCATCATTATAAAATCAATTACCTACCATGATTGCGTATCTGTCTGGTACTGTTCATTGCTTTTAAGCATTATTAAAATATAGGAATCATAACAGTAGCATTATTAATTATTAACAGTATTGTTATAATACAATATCATTATTAAAATAACCTTATTAAAACATATTATATCATATTCATTTCACAAATTTTCATCAGAATCATGTTTGTGCTCAGTGTCGCTAATATTAAAAACATTCAGTTGTGACTAACTAAAATCATCAATAAAATCTTTACGTGTATGTTTGAGTTTAAGGAATTGTGGAATGTGATTGCTTTTAATCATCTGTATTAATAGCTAGTGCTGCACTGTTACTCTGATCAAAGCACAAGGATATTCTACTTTCATGGAGAAATAATAAAGAAATAGATCTTTAAATATATCACTCGGTTGTAATATGTTGTCACTTCTTTATACTCACACATTCAGAATAATGCACTAATTCAGCACTGTGTAAGAGTGACTTTGATTGGATGGTTACCATTTCAAACCTGTGCATTTTCACCCAATCAGGAACAAACTTACTGTCATGCACTACTAAACATTCCTATGCATTTTCACCCAATCAGAAACAAGCTTACTGTCATGCACTACTAAACATTCCTGTGCATTTTCACCCAATCAGAAACAAGCTTACTGTCATGCACTACTAAACATTCCTGTATATTTTCACTCAATCAGAAACAAGCTTACTGTCATGCACTACTAAACATTCAGCTTTGTAAATACCAATGATACAGAAATACAGTGAACTCTGTATGTGGAAAACAATACTTGAGATTGAACACTCTTTTTTATTTCTTAACATTTTACTTTTCTACTATTAATTACCGCCACAGATGTTGAGGTAGCATTTATGTTTGAAGGTACAAAAAAAACAATGTGCATGTGTTTGATGCATGTTTTTCTTTCTGCTACAATCACTTCAATTTATTGAATCAAAATTTGGGAGAGATACACAGAGAACCAGGGCATATATCTTGTATTTGTAATCTTCAGAATTAAGAATTGTATTTTACTTTTCTTGTGTCTGGTTCTGTGTGCCTACTCGTTTAGAAATCATTAACTTCAGATAAGGTGCTGCCCTCGGTGATGGATATATGCAATGTTTTTGTTTTTACTGAATCATTCCCATCATCATCCAAATCTTAATCATTTCAATCCCAAGCTAATCCCAGTACCTTTCACTCTTTTTTAGACTTAAAAGATTTTTGTTTTTCAAATTTGCTAACTCATCATCCAACATTATATTTAATGTCATTTTATATGCGTGTCAAAAAAAAATATGATAAATTGCACCGATGAAATGCTCGGAACCTATTTGCATGAGGTCCTCATCTGCATGTAACTCAATCGCCGAACCTATACATCCTTATTTGGCTGAAAATGGAATATTCTAGCCATAGAGGATTCCATTCCAAAATAGGGGTGTGGATGGGACAGTAAAGCATGCTTGGGTAAGTTAAGAACTGCTGAAATAATTAATATAGAATTTAAAGTTTCTCTTCTTATAACATCTCACGCACCATATTCTATGAATTGCAGATGCTCATGTTGGTGGTGGCCATGGCAACCACAGTAACCATGCCGATGAGGAGGCTTCTGATTTGCATGAATCGGAGGTGCTCTCTAACACTCTCAACAACAGCACCACCCCGAATGAATCCACTGCTTCTGAGTCTACTTTGACATTGCAATCTCTTTCACATGAACCTTGCACTTCTGACCTTTCACCTCCACATGGACTAAACATGCAAATGATGACCACGGATGAGTATGATACTGATGATCATGATACTCATCAAGAATCGTTAAATGTGTCCTTTGTAGAGTATAGGGAGTTTGAGAATGGGGAACTTGATCGACAGCTTGATGCAAAGGTGGAGGCAGCAGTTGAGAAGCTTTTGCTGAGATTACACGACCCAAGTCAAGCTCATTCCAAAGTCTCAGACTCTCAAGGGGAAAGTGGAACTGATAAAGAGCAGACACCACGATCAGAAGATTCCCAGCTGACTGCCAAGAGCTGCACCAGCAGTAGATCCAATTCAAGCAGCACGAAGCAAAAGACAACACCAAAGAAAAAAGTTCCAAGCAAAGGGAGTAAGAAAAGTTCAACTAACATAGATAAAATAAATGAATTGGAATTAGTTATTGAAAATGGTGAATATACAACTGAACCAGAGAGAAGAGAAACCAGATCTCCAGATGGCACCATGGTTGCAAAAGGTGTAATGGATCCCAAACATGGCTTTGTACCTCGTGAAATTGCTCGCGTCAAGAAGCCAGAGAAACACAGTGATAATGAATCCGTTGCTACGGAGGACTTCGAACTTTTTTTTCGGGATGCTATGGTCCCAGATGCTGCTGGACGAAAGGGAATAAGACCAAGCCCTTTTCTTGCACACCGTGTTGGTAGTGATACCGATTCTGTGATTACAGTGGCAACCGATAAATTTGAGGAACAGTTTCACAGTATTATGTTCAGGAGTCTTGAAAACATTGAAGCAAAAAAATCTCTTAAAAAGTCTCCTTCCCCCGGACCATCTCCCATGAAAGCAACTTACATTCCATCTAAGAAAACCACACCCAGTAAAAAGGTTCGTAGTTACACATCTCCGTCCCCGACACCTGTATCAAGACTAAGACCTGCAGCTGCACCTACCACCACACCCAGAGACCGCGCACGATCAATGTCACCTCCAGTCAGATCACGAAAATTCTTGGTTGTTGGTAATCCCTCAAAGAGTGCATCATCATTGCCGAAAAGTGGTCCAATGAGACGAGCAAAATCGTACGATGATGTTGACTCCATACATACGGAAGATTATATGTCTCGTTATATTGGCTCCATGGTTCACCAAAAAATAGGTTAATATTAATTTATTTATTTCAAGATTTTGAAATTATTTAAATTTCATTTTATATAATTGCTTATTAAAATTAACATTTTTGTAATGCAATTCATAATTTATAAAAACTATAACTTGTAACTAATATTAACTTTGCTTTTGAAGCACGCTTCATTCCTAGTAGTCACCAGATTTGTTCCTTTTATCATTTTTATTTTTTGAACTTCATAAGCAATCCGAATGGCTAGACTTTTAGGAGGTAAGTTGTAAACTTCCCCTCCTTCCTCATCCTTCTCCCCCATTTACATATAAAATGGAACATTCTCACTAAGAATCTAATAAGGTTTTTACATGATGCATGGTACAAAGGGGTGTAGGGTATAATTATGTCACTCTTTTCTGGCTCCTGAAAATATATCTCCCTGCAAAATTAAAGTTATTTACCATAGATTATATCATATTGTAATATTCCATAGCTTTAACAATCCCAATAAATTATTGTATTTTCTTGAATGAAATGACATTTTAATAAACATATTGTTTCCCCACAACAAAATATTTGACCTAGGTTTTAAAATATTATTTTCATCATATCCCTTCTAATTGCATACATTATTAATGTATTTATTATTACATTGGGCCACTTTAATGTTAGCATTAATTAATTATTCATGTTGTCATGGGAACCATAATGTCAGTAGGAATACGATAGTTGATTAGAAAGGCTTGCAGGCGAATGTCTGTTATGTGCCTAGAGGACTTGGTATCTGACATTTGCGTCTTCATAAGGACTATTTGATTTTTAAATGTGAGGGATATCATAAAATGTTTATTGAAAAATGGAAGATAACGTGACACGTTGGTGACTGTCCTATCTGTAGGTAATTTTCTTGCTGCAATGTTTAACACTTCACCCACAGTTGATGGTTCTACCTGTCATCCCTACCTTTGTACTAATGGTATATCCCATCTATTGTATACTTTTTGGTTTAGCCCATAAACAGGGATGACAGGTTTAGATGTTGTTTTGTTGTGAATATATTTTAACCTGTCTTCTTTTACTCGCATTGCTTTGTATGGCTTTAGACACCTGTCGCTTTTCAATACAGCAATCTCTCCTTTCATAAATTTTACATGTAAACATTTTGTTGGCAAGGAATTTCTTGTGAAAATTGTTGTAAGTTTGGGTTAACAGCCGCTGATGTGTTGCTATGGGAAATGAATTCCTGATTCAATTTGAAAAGGAAAAACTCAAAAATAGTATATATTAACAGTCATACTATTTTTTTTCAAAAATCTTTTCGTTGGTGCAACATTTAATATGTGAATAGGTTACAGTTCTATGCATGTTATACTGCGAACCATTTTATTTTCACTGCTATTACTTCAGAGTTAAATTTAAGAGCATCCACAGGGACTATTTTCATGAAAGCCATGTGACTCAGGCTGCATGCCAGTGAAATGTTAACTGTAACAAAATTTGGAAATTTTCTCAACTCTCTGGTGAAATAAAGCACTTCACAGTAAAGTACATTTTGGTACAGTTTTAGAAAGAAAAAAAAATAATTTTTGGGCAATTAACATTCAGTGTTGCCTTTTAGATTTGTGTTTCTAAAAAGTTACAACCCTTTGAGTGCCATCATTGTTTCCCAAAAAATTATTTTGCCTATTTTTATATTTCTGTAATCTTTTTTCAAAAATTGCGGACTTAATTTTCTATTTTGAAAAAATATGACACAATGCGAGTTTTATTTTATGAAAGATGACAAGAGTTGACACATAAATACTAGGTAACTCTCACATGAACATGGAAAAAATTGACATCTCAGAAAATTACTGATTTTCCAAAATTAAACCAGACTGTTTTATGTGCAATGGCACTATACCAGTCATTTCCTTTGAACATTCACTAAATTTAAAAACACCTTGAGTTTCTAGTTTTATAATTTCCTTTTCTCATTAGTTTTTTGTTTTTCATCATTTTCTCATGCATTTCCTGCTTTAATTTCAATATTAAATCAAACTTTTCTTTGAAATTATGAAAATACAATGTCATTTTGTGATAATCAGTGAAAAGAATAATGTATGATTATACAAAGACTAATAATTTGTTAGATTATTAATGATTTGGAAACAAATATTTCTGGAAATGTTTGTAAACCTATTTTGTGATGAAGACAGGTGTTGATTTGTTAGACTGACTTTATGTAGGGCAGGCACCTTTGTTCTCAATGTTGTCACCTGTTTAGTTATGAAAACATTATTAAAGTAAAATAAAGTAAATTGATGGAGGTATGTGCATTGGAACAGAATTTATTACTCCTGTATATGCCATAATTGTTAGCTTTGTTTTATTTCACTGTGAGCTAAATATGCTCATATAAAATTTGACAATAGTTTGTGTCACAGATCAGTGAATTCAAAACCTAGGGTCTATTACCTAACCCTAACCCAATACCCTTCGCATGTGATGTCATTAGTTCTCAGCCTTTTCATGTTCTACATGTTAGAAAAGTATGGAGGACTGTAAAAAACAACCATTATGGCCGCCAATGTCTATCCAACAGTACTCAAAAGTCAGTTCAGTTAAAATGTCACACCTTGTCTGATTTTGTTGACGAAAAATAATAAAGAAACAACTAATTTGAAATCCTTAAAGAAAGATGCGACTTTCTATTAAAAAATGTTGAAATTTTGAAAGACTGAATTCTTGAAAAGTTCCATCAAATACATATAGAGGAATAAAATATTGATGGTACTCACACTTGTTTCCATGCAATTGATGTTGCCATGATGTGATTTCTCTACTGCATAAAACGTTGGCAGCCATTTTGGATTGGAAAATTTGCAATGATGCAAGCGATTGAGATTCTTAATTCAAGCTCTTACTCTCAGAATTTAAAAGAATTAATTACAAAGAATAATTCAACAAACCTTCAGGAAATTCCTGTTCCAAAAATGTGTTAGCTGCAACTATTCTTAACCAAACTTTAGGGTTTTGAGATTCATCAGTTGCTGTATACTGTGATATGTTTTAATTTCATGAGTCAAGTTTTTTGCAAATTCTGCGAGTCAGTAATATTTTGTAGTAGTGAAACTTTGTCTGGGATTCTGCATCCTAGAGTGTCAGTGATTTTTGCAAAACTTTGTCTTCTCAAATGCCAGAAATCCAGCAAATCAAAAATATTCCTATTAGCAAAAATTAAGCACCTTACAGTATTTGATCTGAAATTAAACAAATTTATCTTTTTTTTTAAATTTGGCATTTTTTCAAAAATTCAATGTCTGTAATATAATATTGACAATTATTATAAAAAGTTGAGAAGAATGGTTTTTCACAGGAAATTAGTCTTGGGAGAGAATACATTGAAAATGTTCCCTATCACTTAGTCTATGAAATTATGCTTTAATAATGGAATCTATAATGAATGAAAGATGTTGACATTTTAGCTGCAGACTGCTTGCAGGAAATGATAAGTTTTGATTGAACAGCTAAATTTCAGTTGTCACATCTCGATATCCTTGCAATTCAAGTTATTCCTCACCTTAAGCAACTTTTGGAGTAATGCATTCAATTTTTTTCTGTATCATTATACTACTACTTTTTTTTTTATAGATCCTATTCCGTCTCATCTCCGAAGCCTCAGGCGCAATGGGGGAAGAAACAGCGATGGCGGTGACTCTGTGAGAACAGAAGATTACGAGAATCAATTTCATACTATGATGATAAAACAGCTTGCTGGAGTGCCGATTACTAGTTTTGATGACGTCGCTATTGCCAGTGATGTGGATTCAGTCAGAACTGGAGAGATTCACAGAGCTATTCAAGACAGCATAGGTAAATATGTTATAAATTATTCTGGGGTTTGCCACTCATCAATTTAATTTTAAAATTGGATCAAGAAAATATTTTTTTTTGCCACCAATAACAAATTACGACTATCTAAGAAAAATTTCATCATTTGAAAACATGTTATCAGATTAATTAAACATCAAGAAATATACTGTTTAATATAATGTGGACAATCCTGTTGTACAATTCAATTTCCTCCATGAAACTGAAAAATGTTATCTTTTCCCTCTTTGCCAAGTGGTTAACTTATTAAATATCATGTATTTCTATTGAAAACTTTATGAACATATTTATATGTTTTTCTATGAAAGTAAGTATAATTTCCTTCTGGTTAAATGTGTTGTTCAGAATGTTTGAGAAAATGTGGAAAGAAACAAGACTGGTTTAATTTTGCCATAGTTGACTTTCATGTCCTAACCACATTAAATTGCCATTTAAAAAAGAAATGGTCTGACAGACCTATCATGTCTCAAACTCAGCAAAGTGTATAGTAACAGTACTTGCATCGTGTTGTAAGATTTCTTTAATGAAGTAGTTTAGCTTGAGATGCATCATGGGAGTACCACCATTTTGTAGGGTTTTATTAACAAAGTACCGGTGGTGATTGCTTGAGGTGTATCATGGGAGTATCGCCATGTTGTAGGGCTTCATTACTAAAAGTCGTGATATCTTGAGATGCATCATGGGAGTACTGCCATGTTGTAGGGCTTCATTACTAAAAGTCGTGATATCTTGAGATGCATCATGGGAGTACCGCCATGTTGTAGGGCTTCATTACTAAAAGTAGTGATGTCTTGAGATGCATCATGGGAGTACCGTCATGTTGTAGGGCTTCATTACTAAAAGTAGTGATATCTTAAGATGCATCATGGGAGTACCGTCATGTTGTAGGGCTTCATTACTAAAAGTAGTGATATCTTAAGATGCATCATGGGAGTACCGCCATGTTGTAGGGCTTCATTACTAAAGTAGTGATATCTTGAGATGCATCATGGGAGTACTGCCATGTTGTAGGGTTTCATTATTAAAGTAGTGATATCTTGTTATGCATCATGGGAGTACTGCGATGTTGTAGGGCTTCATTACTAAAGTAGTGATATCTTGAGATGCATCATGGGAGTACCGTCATGTTGTAGGGCTTCATTATTAAAGTAGTGATATCTTGAGATGCATCATAGGAGTATTGCCATGTTATAGGGCTTCATTACTAAAAGTAGTGATATCTTGAGATGCATCATGGGAGTACCGTCATGTTGTAGGGCTTCATTATTAAAGTAGTGATATCTTGTGATGCATCATGGGAGTACTGCCATGTTGTAGGGCTTCATTACTAAAAGTAGTGATATCTTGAGATGCATCATGGGAGTACTGCCATGTTGTAGGGCTTCATTATTAAAGTAGTGATATCTTGTGATGCATCATGGGAATACTGCCATGTTGTAGGGCTTCATTTCTAAAGTAGTGATATCTTGAGATGCATCATGGGAATACCGCCATGTTGTAGGTCTTCATTACTAAAGTAGTGATATCTTGAGATGCATCATGGGAGTACTGCCATGTTGTAGGTCTTCATTACTAAAGTAGTGATATCTTGTGATGCATCATGGGAGTACTGCCATGTTGTAGGGCTTCATTACTAAAGTAGTGATATCTTGAGATGCATCATAGGAGTACTGCCATGTTGTAGGGCTTCATTACTAAAAGTAGTGATATCTTGAGATGCATCATGGGAGTACCGTCATGTTGTAGGGCTTCATTATTAAAGTAGTGATATCTTGTGATGCATCATGGGAGTACTGCCATGTTGTAGGGCTTCATTACTAAAGTAGTGATATCTTGAGATGCATCATAGGAGTACTGCCATGTTGTAGGGCTTCATTTCTAAAAGTTGTGATATCTTGAGATGCATCATGGGAGTACCGTCATGTTGTAGGGCTTCATTATTAAAGTAGTGATATCTTGTGATGCGTCATGGGAGTACCACAATGTTGTATGGCTTCATTACTAAAGTAGTGATATCTTGAGATGCATCATGGGAGTACTGCCATATTGTAGGGCTTCATTTCTAAAGTAGTGATATCTTGAGATGCATCATGGGAGTACTGCCATGTTGTAGGGTTTCATTACTAAAGTAGTGATATCTTGTGATGCATCATGGGAGTACTGCCATGTTGTATGG